CCCTCCCCCAATATCAACCACATCAGGCAGGTGGTAACTAGGTGTATTAAAAACCACTTTTAATGTTACAACTTTCTACATAGAGTAAAACTTTACCAACACGCAAAGTAGAATAATGAAACGCTGACATTTTACTAACAAAATGAATTCAACTTTTTAGACCCCGGCTTATACATAGTATTAAAATGAAACGCCGATCAAATGAGTTCAACTTTTTAGACCCCAGCCTATATTTTGCATTAAAATGAAAACTGGTCCATTTATATCTAACCCATTAGGCTAAAAGCCAAGCGACCAATCATGTTCCACTACGTTCAGAAGCCGGGATGAAATTTGTTTGCCCACTAAATTTACATAACTAAATTTCTTGGTTACTAAAGTACTTTATTTAAAATTGTTTATATCAAGTAATAAACTAATTGCGTGAGTGTGTGTGTGTGGGGGGGGGGGGCATAATAAAATAAACGAGGCATATTGTAAACGATATTTGTGCATGTATTACTTTTTAAAATGGCATGTTTAGATCGTGTGGTCAACATTATGCCCAGCCGTCATTACTTTCCACTTACGTCAGTTAGGTACCCAACACAGCTGGGTGGACTCAGAAGTGTTCTACGTACTTATACCCGGATTTGTACTCAAGCAGTTGCATGCTCTACCGTTCGACTGCTCCGTAGCAGAAGGGGATGTTTATATTGCAAACAAAATTTAAAAATAACTTTAACCGTCTACACTTAAATGAATTATTTCTTTTAAAAAAGAATCTCGCAGTATTTAAAGTGTGTATTTTATTTTTAAATTTTCCAAACGTATGTATGTGTGAGTTAAATCTTCAGCCAACAAGGGTCAGCCAACATAGATCAGCCAACATAGGTCATTTAACATAGGTCACTCAACATAGGTCACTCAACATAGGTCAGCCACCATAGGTCACTCAACATAGGTCAGCCAACATAGGTCACTCAACATAGGTCACCCAGCATAGGTCAGCCAACATAGGTCATCCAGCATAGGTCAGCCAACATAGGTCACTCAACAAAGGTCAGCCAACATAGGTCACTCAACATAGGTCACCCAGCATAGGTCAGCCAACATAGGTCACCCAGCATAGGTCAGCCAACATAGGTCACCCAGCATAGGTCAGCCAACATAGGTCACTCAACAAAGGTCAGCCAACATAGGTCACTCAACATAGGTCACCCAGCATAGGTCAGCCAACATAGGTCAGCTAACATAGGTCAGCCAACAAAGGTCAGCCAACATAGGTCACGTAACATAGGTCAGCCAACATAGGTCACTCAACATAGGTCAGCCAACACAGGTCACTCAACATAGGTCATTTAACATAGGTCACTCAACATAGGTCAGCCAACATAGGTCAGCCAACATAAGTCACCCAACATAGGTCAGCCAACATAGGTCACCCAACATAGGTCACCCAACATAGGTCAGCCAACATAGGTCACCCAACATACGTCAGCCAGCATTGGTCACCCAACATAGGTCAACAAACATAGGTCACGTAACATAGGTCAGCCAACATAGGTCACCCAACATAGGTCAGCCAACATAGGTCAACCAACATAGGTCACCCAACATAGGTCACTCAACATAGGTCACTTAACATAGGTCAGCAAACATAGGTCAGCCAACATAGGTCAGCCAACATGGGTTACGTAACATAAGTCACCCTAACATAGGTCAGCCAACATAGGTCAGCCTACATAGGTCACCCAACATAGGTCAGCCAACATAGGTCACCCAACATAGGTCAGCCAACATTGGTCACCCAACATAGGTCAACCAACATAGGTCACGTAACATAGGTCAGCCAACATAGGTCACCCAACATAGGTCACCCAACATAGGTCACCCAACATAGGTCAACCAACATAGGTCCCGTAACATAGGTCAGCCAACATAGGTCAGCCAACATAGGTCAGCCAACATAGGTCAGCCAACATGGGTTACGTAACATAAGTCACCCAACATAGGTCAGCCAACATAGGTCACCCAACATAGGTCACCCAACATAGGTCAACCAACATAGGTCCCGTAACATAGGTCAGCCAACATAGGTCAGCCAACATAGGTCAGCCAACATAGGTCAGCCAACATGGGTTACGTAACATAAGTCACCCAACATAGGTCAGCCAACATAGGTCAGCCAACATAGGTCAGCCAACATAGGTCACCCAACATAGGTCAGCCAACATAGGTCACCCAACATAGGTCAGCCAACATAGGTCACCCAACATAGGTCACTCAACATAGGTCACCCAACATAGGTCACTCAACATAGGTCAGCCAACATAGGTCAGCCAACATAAGTCACCCAACATAGGTCAGCCAACATAGGTCACCCAACATAGGTCACCCAACATAGGTCAGCCAACATAGGTCACCCAACATACGTCAGCCAGCATTGGTCACCCAACATAGGTCAACAAACATAGGTCACGTAACATAGGTCAGCCAACATAGGTCACCCAACATAGGTCAGCCAACATAGGTCAACCAACATAGGTCACCCAACATAGGTCACTCAACATAGGTCACTTAACATAGGTCAGCAAACATAGGTCAGCCAACATAGGTCAGCCAACATGGGTTACGTAACATAAGTCACCCTAACATAGGTCAGCCAACATAGGTCAGCCTACATAGGTCACCCAACATAGGTCAGCCAACATAGGTCACCCAACATAGGTCAGCCAACATTGGTCACCCAACATAGGTCAACCAACATAGGTCACGTAACATAGGTCAGCCAACATAGGTCACCCAACATAGGTCACCCAACATAGGTCACCCAACATAGGTCAACCAACATAGGTCCCGTAACATAGGTCAGCCAACATAGGTCAGCCAACATAGGTCAGCCAACATAGGTCAGCCAACATGGGTTACGTAACATAAGTCACCCAACATAGGTCAGCCAACATAGGTCAGCCAACATAGGTCAGCCAACATAGGTCACCCAACATAGGTCAGCCAACATAGGTCACCCAACATAGGTCAGCCAACATAGGTCACCCAACATAGGTCACTCAACATAGGTCACCCAACATAGGTCACTCAACATAAGTCACTCAACATAGGTCATTTAACATAGGTCATTTAACATAGGTCACTCAACATAGGTCACCCAAAATAGGTCAGCCAACATAGGTCAGCTAACATTGGTCAGCCAACATAGGTCAGCCAACATAGGTCACCCAACATAGGTCAGCCAACATAGGTCACCTAACATAGATCAGCCAACATAGGTCACTCAACATAGGTCACCCAGCATAGGTCAGCCAACATAGGTCAGCCAACATAGGTCACGTAACATAGGTCAGCCAACATAGGTCACGTAACATAGGTCAGCCAACATAGGTCACTCAACATAGGTCAGCCAACATAGGTCATCCAACATAGGTCACCCAACATAGGTCAGCCAACATAGGTCACTCAACATAGGTCAGCCAACATAGGTCACCCAAAATAGGTCACTCAACATAGGTCACCCAACTTAGGTCACTGAACATAGGTCACTCAACATATGCCACTTAATATTAGTCAGCCAACATAGGTCACCCAATATAGGTCACTCAACATAGGTCACACAACATATGTCACTTAATTATGGTCAGCCAACATAGGTCGTTCATCAAAGGTCACTCAAAAAAGTCATCCAACATAGGTCACTCAACATAGGTAACTCAATTGTCGCTGTACGTGAGACGCGGATTTGATAGATGGCTGCACAAAACCCTCATGTGTGACTAGACATGTCCAATTTACATATCTTCAATTTTCTCATCAATTTTCTCAACTAGATATGTATGATTCACACTTCAATTTATCAAACTATCATATCTTCAATTCACTCATCAATTTCCTCAACTAGATACGTACGATTCACACTTATCACATCGCATATCTAGAGTTCACTCATCACTTCACTACACGAGATATCTATAATTAGCTCTTCACATCTGACATGTGCTCACACACAGCGCGTTCTTGTCTAAAGCCCAACCCTACCAGCAACCACACGTGTGTAGGCCATCACGTTGTCTAAAGCCCAACCCTACCAGCAACCACACGTGTGTAGGCCATCACGTGACTGGCGTCCACATCACTTCATCGCTCACAACAACGGTTGCGTGTGGCCATTATAGAAACGTGAGAACCTTCAGATCCATGATACAGTTTAGCACTACAAGCTATACCCATGGCGGGATATAACAAACGGTTGCGTGTGGCCATTCAAGAAACCTGAGAACCTTCAGATCCACGATACAGTTTAGCAATGCCCGCTACACCCACGCAGAGTTTCTTCCAGGCATCTCACCGCCCCCCCCCCCCTTGAAGAACGTCTACCCCCCCCCCCCCCAACGAAATATAATTTATATAGAATACATACTTTTACCAGTGTCCGCCCCCCCCCCACAGGAAAATGTTGCCCCCCTCCCCGAAAATATCAAGAGCCCCCCACACCCCCCTCCCCCTCGGAGAAAAAAGTCTGAAAGAAACACAGCACCCACAGCGTGATATAACAACGGTTGCGTGTGGCCATTATAGAAACGTGAGAACCTTCAGATCCATGATACAGTTTAGCAACGCCAGCTACACCCACGCAGAGTTTCTTCCAGGCATCCTATCCCCCCACCCGAAGCACGTCTACCGCCCCCCCCCCCCGAACGAAATATAATTGATATAGATACATACTTTTACCAGTGTCCGCCCCCACCCCCACCGGAAAATGTTGCTTCCCCCCCCCCCCCCGAAAATATCAAGAGTCTGGAAGAAACACAGCAACCACGGCGTGATATAACAACTGTTGCCATGGCGACACGGTAAGGGTGTGTGGGGGGGGGGGGGGGGTAGGGAAGGGGGTGATATTTATGGAGGGTACAATTTTTCTATGTCGAGTAAACACCCAAATGTTATACCAAGTTACCAGTAAAAAAAAAGTTACAGCTTGTAAAAAAAAAAAAAAAAAAACTTACGGGTTGCTGGTAGCGCCACTCTGCGTCACGATAAATCACACCCAAAGTTTTATAATCCACACTTGAGGGGAGATCTAAGTACGTCGGAAGTGGCCAGGGGCCGCTACTCGGCTTATCAGGCAGGAATATTCACCTGTGATTAACGAGAGAAAAAATAATGCAATAAAACTAGAAATATATGTACATCGATTTATAAAAAAACAGAAATAACATGCCACTGTTTTATGTTTGAAGACAGTTAAAGTAAAAGAACATGTATTAAAATCTCTAAGCAGACAAAAATTGAAGTAGCCTATAATATAAACAATTTAATTTTTGTTTATATTTAATTTCGTGTTGGATTTAATACTTCCTTTGATTCAAAATCCATTACACGCCCGTTTTTCGTTGCTTTAATTCTAACTCGTGTATTAATTATATACTGCTTTATAAAGTTTATCATACTTCTAATTAGCTGCATTCATTTTGTTTAGTTATAACTTAAAGTCGCTACTGCAACAGGATATGATACATATAAGAGGGAAGAAAGATAGTTTAAGTTTCAAATATATACAACATTCGATGCAACAAATGTATCGAACTTTAATTTAATTGTAAAATGTTTCGTGTTATTTTATTATCTACATCTGTAATTTTCAACTGTTTTAAAATAACACAAGAATTTTATTTTTGTTCAAAATAAACCAAGCAGGTGTATACAAAGTGAAAAGTTTTTGGTTTATAGGAAATAACAACTACGCCAAAAATATATAAGATAGAAGTTCTAAATAATTCAAGCAAGTCTAGACCACTATGATGTATAAGATGCATCTAGTGAATGCTTCAAGACTATACTATTATGTTGTTTATGTTACACATACTTAATGGTTTAAGACTAGACCACTATGTTGTTTATGATACACATACAGAAGGGTTCAAATAAAACTAGACCACTATGGTGTATATATACACATACTGATTGTATCAATCACGTCTAGACCGCTCTAGTTTCTATGATACACTGTGGTTCTAGACTAGAAAAGACCTCTATAGTTTCTATGATAAACCTACACTGTGGTTCTAGACTAGACTAGACCACTATAGTTTCTATTATAACCTATTGTGTAGTTCTAGACTAGACCTCTATAGTTTCTATGATACACTGTGGTTCTAGACTAGACTAGACCTCTTTAGTTTCTATGATAAACCTAATGTGATTCTAGACTAGACCTCTATAGTTTCTATGATAAACCTAATGTGGTTCTAAACTAGACCTCTATAGTTTCTATGATACACCTTCTGTGTGGTTCTAGACTAGACTAGACCTCTATAGTTTCTATGATACACCTATTGTGTTGTTCTAGACTAGACTAGACCACTATAGCTTGTGATACACCTTCTGTAGGTTCTAGACTAGACCTCTATAGTTTCTATAATAAACCTACTGTGTGGTTCTAAACTAGACCGCTAAAGTGTAAGAAAAACAATTATAAGTGTCAAACAATCAAGTATAGACAGAAGAAAAGAAAGTAGCCTTGGTGCCACTTTGGTTACAACAACGCTGAACCCCTCCGCCAACAACAACAACACTCAGAAACGTGGCGTGTCAACTAAAGATAGTGCCAGGGATTAGATAAAAAAAAAAAAACTTGCATTACGTTAATGGTACAGCGAAAATAAATCTCGGATTGTAGGTGCAGTACTAGAAACTATTTATAGCAACATTTCATAATTGGATTCGCACTTTTTGGTGTGGCTGATAACTAATTACTTTAACCTATAATTGACGTGCATTGGTTATATAATTATGTTATACAGAAGTGGTTTTTTTGTTCATTAGGATTTAATAGACGTGTTTTTTGTATTTATTTTGTTTTTTGTGTGCTGGTAACAATGTTTTATATAAACAAATGATCAAGTTAACCTCTTCTTCTTCTTCGTTCTTAATTGTGAATATGGTGGAGGATTCAGACAACAAGTCCAACTTCGTGGACAAACCGGACTGTGGTCTCCAGTTTGTCAGGTGCCCCATATAATTTTTCCCTGAGTGGGGTGGGCTGGGGCCAGTGTCTGACTCGTGCCTGGCTATACAAAGTACATTCCTGGAGTACGTGCTCCGTGTTTTCCGGGGCCTTGCCACAAGGGCACATTTCGCTACACCCAACCTTCAGTTTTCTGAACCGAAAACAGTGAACATAAAAAAAAAAAAAAAAAAAAAACAAATAGCAAAAGAAAAAATTAAAAGGCCACTTTTTGAAGTACATATATTTAAAACTATCAAACAGATTTAACGAAACGAACCTACAAGAAACGAACAAAGCTCCCATAAGTGTAGAAACAAAAAGTTAGGACAAGTAGACCCCCCCCTCCCCCTGGACTAATTAACACCGGCAGACGTCAGTTGTGGGTGGAGCTGTCAGCACGAGCAGTGATGTAAACAGATGGATCTGTCAGTAGATCTCTGGAACTCAATTAACGTCAATTACAACGGTGAGTGCCGGAATACACGGGTGCCGGTATACGGAACAAGAGATGGTGGGGTGGACGTGGAGGGGGTGGAGGTGGGGGTGGGGGTAGAGGTGGGGGGGGAGTGTAGGATGTGGGAGTTGTGGGGGGTGTAGATGTAGGGTAAAGATGTAGGGAGGTGTAGAGAGGTGTTGGGTAGAGTAGTGTGGAGTAGTGTGGGTTAGAGGTGTGGGGTGTGCAAGTGATGGGGGTGGGGGATAAGATGTGGGAAGGTGTAGGGCGTGGGAATGGTGGGGTTAAAGGTGTGTGGAGGTGTAGGGTGTGGTGGGGGTAGATGTGTGGGGAGATGTAGAGTTTGGGAGTTGTGGGGGGGGAGATGTGTGATGTGTAGGGTGTGGGAGTGGTGTGGTAGATGTGGGAGGTAGATGTGGGTGCAGCTGTGTGGGGAGGTGTAGGGTTTGTGAGTGGTGGGGGGAGATGTGAGATGTGGGTAGGTGTAGGGTGTGGGAGTGGTGGGGTAGATGTGTGGGGTAGAGGAAGGTGTAGAAGTGTGGGGAGGTGTAGTGTGTGGGAATGACGCTAGCATAAAATGAAACCGGTACATCTTAACACGTCCATTGACTGTCTGCTAAAACGTAAGGGGAGACAACTCTACTGAAAGATTTGTATTGTTTTTTTTATGACCTTTGTCCTTGATGTAGCCAAAAAATGCTTTGTAATGTTAAAGAGGTTTGGGAAAAAATATGTTGCAGTAGAATGCTGACTAAACAAAAAACCATTGTCAAACTTGGAATGTAAACAAACATGGCCAACCTTTGACTTGTTGACAAAATCAAAAGGTCAAACCGTGACAACTCCCAGTGTAAACACTATGCTCTAATCAAAAAGACGTTACTAAAAATAGAACTCATATCAGGTGGTTAGATCCTACACACAAAAAAAAGTTGATCTAAAAACAAATTAGCTAAATGCCTCGCATCTGTCTATAAATAAACAAAAACATAATATGATGAATCAGCATTCTAGACATTCACATTAGAATGTTTATTGTCTTAACACTGAAGAGGTTGTGAAACATGGAATGTTGTATAACAAATATCTGATGTTGAGCTGTGAAAACGTAGCACCGGCTCTGCTGTGAAGCAAAATAAAATGTTACTGTCGTTTAAAGTGATAACAGACTTCTTACGGTAAAGTATTAAAAACATTGAATCAACCTCGGGCAGATGAGGCTCGTTAGCTGGGGACAGCCACTCTTCTAGGAGAGACAACTCCAAAATTAAACAACTGCTGCCTTGTAGTTTGTTCTTGGTTGGACAAAGGCTATGGAAGCAAATCCAAAAAGAAAAGCAGGCTGAAATCGGAGTCAATGGCCTCAATGGCGCATAACCAGTTGACACGTAACACTTAATTGTGTTGGAGGCGTGGTCGAGTCGGCAAAAAGCTCATGGTTGATAAATTCGAACAAAGTCTCGAGTTTAAACCCACTGGCAGATAAATCTCGATCCCCTTCAACACTAATAATTAAGAACGAAGAAGAAGAAGAAGAAGATTGAATCAACTTGTGCGGAGCTGGATGGATTCAAGGACGTCTTATGGGCCCTGGTCAACTGAGCTTGGTGGACTCAGTGACGTCTTATGGGCCCTGGTCAACTGAGTTTGGTGGACTCAGTGACGTCTTATGGGCCCTGGTCAACTATGGTGGCTGGACTCAGTGACGTCCTATGGGCCCTGGTCAACTGAGCTGGGTGGACTCAGTGACGTCTTATGGGCCCTGGTCAACTGAGCTGGGTCAATGACGTCTTATGGGCCCTGGTCAACTGAGCTGGGTGGACTCAGTGACGTCTTATGGGCCCTGGTCAACTGAGCTGGGTGGACTCAGTGACGTCTTATGGGCCCTGGTCAACTATAGTGGCTGGACTCAGTGACGTCTTATGGGCCCATGTCAACTAAGCTGGGTGGACTCAGTGACGTCTTATAGGCCCTGGTCAACTGAGCTGGGTGGACTCAGTGACGTCTTATGGGCCCTGGTCAACTGAGCTGGGTGGACTCAGTGACGTCTTATGGGCCCTGGTCAACTGAGCTGGGTGGACTCAGTGACGTCTTATGGGACCTGGTCAACTGAGCTTGGTGGACTCAGTGACGTCCTTAATAACACGGGTCCAGGAAAGGATTCTGTGACGTTCGATCATAAGTCGTACGCCCTACTGCTTGACCACGCAGTTCCTCATTTCTTTCAGGCACTACCATATTTTTCACAGCTTTCGAAATTTATTTCGAATTAATTTTGTTTTCTTTTTTTTTTAAACATAGCATTCCCCTCCTCCCCCATCGCCCCTACCCACACACACCCCCAACAATCATGCGGGTCACCGTGACCTCCATTCTACGTCTTCAACACACAGACCCACTTCATTAATAAAACAAAACAAAAACACGTCGTAGTTCACGCTACATCTGACGGACGGGCGTACAGGTGTGGGGAGAGCCCAGATCTTCCCCCCCCCCACCACCACCCGGGCCAGGAATGCCCTACATCCATCCACAGGCTCGGGGCAAGATGGACGCGCTACTTAAGATGGCAGCTACAAAACTACTTCCGGTCCAGACTGACACAAACTGTGTGCCAGGTGGTAACAGATCTCCTACATTCTACCACCAGCTTTTGGAAACATTGGAGTTCTCATTCATTTTTTAATTAATTATCTAGATATGATTATAATTTTAGGCGTGAACAGGAAAATAATGAAGACATTATGATATAAATGTATTCTAAAATTCAAAAATATAGGCCTAAACAATATAATTTTATACAGATATTATTACAACAACAACAACGACGACAACAACAACAACAACAATATCAACAACAACAACGAATTCCACAACAAAAAGTAACTATTGTAACAATCAACGGAGATTTTTTTTCCTTGATGAAGAGATAGTGTGGTCAGTACTACGTCAAACCATTTACGTTCCCTAACGTGGACTCAGGAACGGTCTACTGACCGGAACTCGGATTTGAACTCGGGACTTTCGGGTTAGCAGTCTAGTTCTCTACTGCTCGACCCTAAACTGACAGTGATACCTTAAAATGTGTTGGATATATTTGTGCATCAATGTTCGCATCATATTATCAAAAAGTAAACAACCCAAATGTTGAACCAGCTGTTATGAGATCAGGAAACGAAATAATGAAAGCATGTGGGTTTGTTCCTAGTGAACTCTTACCCAAGATCGGAGCATAAAGGGCAGAAGACTACACATAACGCGGCGTGCATGTAAACCGGAAGTAGGAACAGACAGACGAACACACATACAAACACGAGACATGTAAACACCGTGGTTATTTTAAATGGTGCGGGGTTTTACAGAGGGCAAATTGTCGAAACAGAAACTGGCTTGTTTGGATTAGCCGTACCCATAGTCGTAAATCTGAAATCACGATACTAAGTGGGTTAATATTATAGTCAGTGTTATTGTTTTGTGGTATAGTATAGGCTGCGTATAGCTAATGAAAATATAATTTTGCAGGACCTAATTATAGATAAAATCTGCAAGTTATCGATTAGCCATGTCCACATATTTGTCTAATTTGAATTACTCTCCTAAGATCCTTTTAAATACATAGTGTATAAGGTTGGGGATATATTAGGAGATAGTGTTAGGTTGTGAATTAAAGAATTGTAATTAGTATATGATTAAAAAAACTGCAAGATCTATGAATCGTGATGTATTGATTAAATTAAATTTCGTTAAATATCACATACCTTCGTTAAAGAATCCAATACAAATTGATTGGTCTAACGAAGAACCAACAGTAATATCCTAAACAATCATCATATTTTGATAAACAAACACTCTAAAATATTACGAGCAACCCTAATATCAGATATTGCACATTACAAATTATTCTGAAGAACAATCCGAAAATTCGAATCGAATGTCGTAAATAATCCAAAACATCACGAACCACAACAACCCCAGAATCCGATATCACTGGTAACAAAAATATTATGAACAACAATCCACGAATTAACTCCCAGATATCGAAACTAATCCAAAATGTGATATACAGCAATCTAGAACACTCTAATTAACCCTAACACCACTGGGCTCTCAGACGTGCAAGGGTTAACTGGTGGTCGTGCTGTTGACGCTAAACACGCCACACCACCGCGGGTTTGAACCGCCACAACGGTTTAGCCCCCAGGCGCAGACCGAAATGGCACCGCTGCCGCTACCTGTCTACGAGCGGCCGCTCACTGCATTAACAAGCAGGTAATGAGAACAACGTGCTCACGGACACACGAACAACGCAGTTTGCACGTGAGGAGTGAGTAGTTATTTACTCGCGATGTGTTTACATCTTTTACTCACTCCCGTTTTTTAAAGGACTGAATTACCTGCCAATGGTGAATGATCCTATTGAAAATTACCTGTATACAAAAAAAAACGTATTGGAGTCTTCTGCAGATTCACACGGTCGATCTATAAATAGACTGCGTCGGCTAATTTGTCTTCTAAACAAAATAATTGGTAATTAATTTTAACACCGACATTTCCAAGCAGGTAATTTAGTTTAAGGTCTACATAAAACAGGCGAGTACACCACGTAAACGTAATTAAAAAGTGTGGTTGATTTCTTTTTAGGAAGATTATATTTTGATCAAGTTCAAGGACAAAGACGAACGCGCATTTTATTAAGCCTAGCAACAATGATAACGGAGCACCAAGATCAATATACTAAAAATAGAAACAAAAAACTCTGTAAAATTGTGCCAGGTAATGATTCGTGATACACAAGGCTGCACTATAGGTAAGTATAGCATAGATCAACAACCACTCAAACACAGCTACCCCGCTTTATCACAACTACTCCACCTAAACACAACTAATCAACCTAAACCAGGGGTCGGCAACCTGCGGCTCGCGAGCCGCATGCGGCTCTTTTGATGTTGAGATGCGGCTCTCCGGCTCCTTGCACAAATATTACTTGTTTTATTATTACATTTTTAAAAAACATACATATTAAAGAACTTTAAACAGGATAAAAACACTCATCAGACAACAGTGAGAATAGGTGAGGTAGCAAGTATACGGACAGCTGACAGCCGCTTGGGCACCAGGCCCAGCCCCACAGCCGTTCTGTGGACAGCAACGTCGCAACAATTCCAGGCTTTTAACTAACAAATCGAATTTATTTACCAAATCCTAGTCAAATACCATAATATTAAATACTAATGTGGCTCTATATAAACTGGGACATTTTGTAAATTGTAACTTTTGGCTCTTCCGTCTCAAAAGGTTGCCGACCCCTGACCTAAACACAACTACTACACTAAAACGTAACTACTGCACCAAAACACAACTACTCCAAAATACAGCTACTAAACGCAACCCACTATCCCTAAACATAACTACTTAACCTAAACACATTTACTACTTATCAAATAAAATGCTGCTCTATCAAAACACAACAAGACTCACGCCTACACACAATACAGCCATCAAATAACCATATGACACAAAATGGGACAACAATAAAACATTCCTGAAACTAATCAAAACCTCAATTGTTAATTAGTTAAAAATTTAATAAATCAAACATCATCACAACAGTACAAATCTCCAAACTTACAAAAAAAACGCTATCTGAATAATTGCCATAGTATAGCTTTACATCATAAATATATGCAATCCAAAAACAGTATTACAATTCTTGCAAAGAAAACACCACCGGAATAATATTTACCTTAAAAAACAATGAATATAATTATTTGCAATAAAAACAGCATTATAATATTTGCACTAGAAACACCATTATAATATTTGCACTAGAAACACCATTATAATATTTGCACTAGAAACACCATAAGAATATTTGCACTAGAAACACCATAAGAATATTTGCACTAGAAACACCATAAGAATATTTGCACTAGAAACACCATTATAATATTTGCACTAGAAACACCATTATAATATTTGCACTAGAAACACCATTATAATATTTGCACTAGAAACACCATTATAATATTTGCACTAGAAACACCATAAGAATATTTGCACTAGAAACAACATAAGAATATTTGCACTAGAAACACCATTATAATATTTGCACTAGAAACACCATTATAATATTTGCACTAGAAACACCATTATAATATTTGCACTAGAAACACCATAAGAATATTTGCACTAGAAACACCATAAGAATATTTGCACTAGAAACACCATAAGAATATTTGCACTAGAAACACCACCCAGAGATCTACATGACTTAACATCCTACGTGTCACTATTATTATTTCCGTCAACACCATACCCCATGGCTTACCTCCCCTCCCACCTCCAGGTGATACCCACCAGTCCTCACCCACAACCCACACGAGTTATTGCCCCTGTGCTCAACCCGGTAGTTAAACCCCCTTGGACTGACGGTCACGTCTTTACTTTTGGCGGGAGTTGATACGAGCGAGCAGGGGCAGATAACTCAAGGGGCAGATAACTCAGGGGATAGTTCCTTGCGGAGGGGCGGGAAGGCAACGATAGCATCATGCGGATAGATGGGGCGAGAAGAAAGGGACAGGGATATTGGTCTATAGGGGAAGGGGGAGATAACCGTGGGAAATCAAAGGGGGATAATTCAGAACAGTTGGAGAAGGGGAGATGATTGTTAGATATTGTGAGGGTTTCCACGTATTGGTGGTAGACGGGTTCCAAGGAAGGGGGGGGGGGGGGGGGGGAGGGGAAGCTGGCAAGTTGAATGGCAAGGGTAAGGAGGTTGAAAAGGACGTTACTGGTATAAGTGAATGGCGGAAGGATGTAAGGGAATGTAACTGGCATAAGTGAATGACATAAGGATATAAGGGGACGTAACATGTATAAGTGATTGATGGAAGGATATAAGGGGGCGTAACATGTATAAGTGATTGATGGAAGGATATAAGAGGACGTAACTGCCATGAGTGAATGACAGAATGATGTAGGGTGACGTAACTTGTATTGTTAAATAAGATGTTAAAAAAGAAAAAGAAATATTCGAGGTAATATGTTATTGTTATCAATTATTTTAACAAGGAAAAGAAGAACAAATCTAAAATCAGCACATAAACAGTTTATATTCAAAGAAGAAAATAGTAGATCTATAAACCTGAGAGAAGGAAAAAAAATTTCAGCCTAGAAAAAAAAATTGCCAGACCAATTTAGTGAAACAACTTCACATCAAGGGAGATAATTCGTCTTAAATCTAAGGAAATTGTTTTTGATCGATGTGAAGTATAAAGAGATAAAACGTCTAAAATATGAGCGTTTATTTTGATCAGTACAAAAATGGTGATATTTAGAAGATAATCAGAGTAGAAAAATACATTTCAATATAATGTTTAATTATTAATATGCATATCTTTTGCAGCAGTTTAAAATCAGCGAGTATTATGTTAATATAGACTGAATACGTTAAACTATAGTAATTATATAGTCTGAAATAATTGTATGTATTATCCATAAAGGATACCATTTCGTTATAAGGGTTGTACCCAAAATCAATCGTCTACTCAGGACACTAGATCCAAGATGGGATGGCATGGTCTGGTTGTAGAGCACTAGACTACCAACCCAAAAAGTGTCGAGTTCGGGAATCATTCTGCAGGAACGTCCATGTGTTCAGTCTGCTCTGACTTAAGTTATGGAAAGTAAAGGCGCTTGGTATAGTGCCACCACACCAGCGGTTCGGTGACCGGAAAGATGTGCTACGGAAAAATGCGCACAAAAAAAAAGTGCGCAATGGCATTTTTGTTTTTTAAATCGAGCATTTTTAGACATTAACAAAGAGTGAATACATGTACGCTGTAGGGTAATAAAACATATTTCCAGGAAATACGATCAAATTTAAATGTTTTAGTGGGATTATTTTGTACTTGTTAAACATACATTTCAACTGTTATTCCTGTATGTTTATTGCTATTTTATTTGATGTAGGAACACAATGGCTACACAGCAAGAAAGTTATCAATTCATTATTACAAAGATGGTCATATAGGGCTACATATGTTTATGTTGATTTTAAATAAGCGAGCTGAAACATATATATAAAAAATAGCAATATGTATGACAATGTTTAAGTTGTCGTCCTTTATTATAGGAATTTTTTTTTTTAAATTTAAAATAAAGAAATAACAAAAAATAGAGACACCAGTCTAAAACGAACGTACATTTTTATCTGTAAAATGATCTTTAAAAGAAACTAACGTTTTAAATCTTTAATTGACATAGGGTGTTAAGTAGAACATAAGTTAGCGTTTTATTTTTAAAATGTTTTGTATTGACTGCAATTTTTCTAACTATAAATATTAAATGTAATAAAATTTACATTGATGTAGTATGTTGTTATTAATATTATTCTTCTGGATGTTTATTTTAACTAACTTTTTATCAATTTGTTTCCCTTGCATTAAATTTTTCTAAATTTATTTTTTCAAATGGGAGATATTCAACATTCACATTAAACTCCTTCAGAGTCTTGACCACTTACTTGCAAATTAAACGTTAAGATTTGAGATGTGCCTACACCAGTTATTTACTATAGTAAAAAGAACAGTAATTTAACATCTACGGTTGTAAGTTTTAATATAATGATCTATCGCAATCAATGTATATGGCTTAGAAAGCACTAAGTATTAGCAGGAGCCATTAAATTATTGATTGGGTGTTTCGTTTATAGAGCTTGTAGAAGTTAGGCTAGGTGGTGTCGTAGTTAATGCGTATCGAGTCTAGGTAGTTTTGAGGTATCGAAATTTGTCGTTGATATTCGGTGTGAATCTAGTTGTGTGTATAGTCATGTGTTTAATAGTGAGATGAGTTTATCGAGTAGTCGAGTTTATCGTAAGTTTGATGGTGTTGTGACGGAACATCGCAGCTAAGATTGCTGCCAAATAAGCGTCGTCTGGCTAAAAAATATGAAACGATGTGTATTGTGTATTAGCAACATGTTATAAAACAAAATTTAATCATTCAAGAAAATAAAAAAAAACCATCTATATTCCATCGCACATTTGAATTTCAAATTACAATTTAACTTTATTTAAAACATGACACTAAAGATAATTCTTAAAGAATCCTCAAGCGTAGATTTAACGTACAAAAAAAGATGTTATTTTGTAAAGGGTGAATAT